CGCACAAACATATAACACCCACAAACATATAGCACACACAAACATATAACATACACAAACATATAACACACACAAACATATAGCACACACAAACATATAACACAGAAGGCCTGTAATTTTAACTTTGTTATATTTTTCCATGTCCAATTACAATTGTCTCATGAGCTATTTCTATTGTTGCAACTTTCAGAGCCTGCAGAACATGCAGAGCTTTAATAGATTTTTCCTAAAAGGATCCATTTCAAACTTTAGTGTTTACACCACGTGGTCTTTACTCGGGCTTCTCACAGACTGTGTCCCCTATATTTTTAATGAGCTCTTGTTACTTAAAAAAAACTCATGCACGTGCAATAAATGTTTTTCCCTTTTTTTTTTTTTTTTTTTTTTTTAAAGCCAGTTCGGATTCCTTAAAAATGTAAATTAGTTTCAAACTTTAATACTTCACCTTTGTTTCACGTTCATGTGGAGAAAAGACCATTGTTTTATGTGTGTGTACTTGCACCAATCATGTCTCAGATGAACGGCCAACAGTTATCAAAGACATAATTGTCCTAATTGTTTCTAATTTAGCTGTTTGGAAGAGAAACATGTCATAAAAGATTTCAAAAAATGTCCCTACATCTTTGTTTTCAACCAATGAACAGTGTTGCGTCTATGTGTTATCAGAAATGATCCAATATCACCTTTAGCCAAAATTCAGAAATGCTTTAAATCATTTTTCAAACTTTAATTGTCTGAACAAACCATTTTGTACTAAATGCAGCGTCCATTAAAAGCTGCAGTTCTCTTTCTAGCACCAGTTTCAACTGTGCATGTGATTGTTCTTAAATGATTAACAAGCCACGGTTCAGAGGTTGAAAACACTGCTTTAAATATCCGTATTACCAAGATCATGCAGTCAAAATCAATAATTCTAAACTTCTCCGCGTCTATAACTTTAAATAATAATACTAGTTTCAATAATAGAGCTCCTCTACTTTAAATATACTGCTGTTCTAATCTCCTTGTGTCTCATGCTAAAGCAAGAGTCTAATTAATTTTAACGATTGTCCTGTATTCTTTTCATGCAGCTAAATGTGGTGTTATGAACGAATGACCTAAATGTGTAAATATGACTTAAATTCCACATGTCTCTGTGCGTTTGTTGCCTGTCTGTATATTTACCTTCTGTGTGTCTCATTTAGGCCAGCCACGTCTCAAATGTCCGTTAATGTCTTTCTTTTACTCATGGCGTCTTTCAATGTCTTTTGTCTCAAAGTGTCCAATGTCTTTGTCTCAATGTCTTTTTTCTTCTTCTTTAAACAATCACTTTCTTTCTTCTTCTTTCAATAATCACTTTCTTTCTTCTTCTTTCAATCACTTTCTTCTCCTTGCAATGTCTTTTTCTTTTCAATCATTTTCTTCTTCTTTCGACAACTTTTCTCATGTCTTTCTTTGTCTCATTTTTTGACGCACACCAGCGTGTGTCCTTCTTCTTCTTGTTAGGTTTACACAACGTTCTTCTCCGTGCACATAACTCCACTCGGTTTGTGCAAAAGTCTGGTTTTTTCTCCATGAAATGGAGGCCGGAGAGGTCTTCTTCGAGAGTTCCTGTTAGCTGCTACAGCCGATGCTGCTGTCTTTGGTGCCCCCTGTGGGTCTGGGGGAGACGCTGATGGTCCGTGCTGATGGCGCCCGATTGTGGTTTGTGGCAGAGACGATTTTTTGGCCAAATGAAACAGACAGAAGTTTTCTCGGAAAAAACAGACAAACAAGAAGCACAAACAAGTGTGTTAATTACCATACGAAACCAATGATTAATTACAATTCAAAATAAACCTATGAAATAATTAATATTAACATTTTAAACATTAAATTCTGAAAACCAAATCTGCATTCAACTGCTATCCTAAGCCCTATTTTTCCAAAAGTATAATGCTCTCTAAGATCATTCTAACTTTTATATCACCAAAATGTAGGGAAAAAAACGTGTCTAGACGCCTTGGAGATAAAAAATAAAAAATAAAATAATGCCTCTTTATAATCTAACTCAAAGTTCTGTGATCCTATGACTCCATGTCAGTAACATTATCGTGTGTATAAATGTAATTTTCTACAAAAAAATTCTTTCTTCACGAGAGAGAGAGAGAGAGAGAGAGAGAGAGAGAGAGAGAGAGAGAGAGAGAGAGAGAGAGAGAGAGAGAGAGAGAGAGAGAGAGGAAGGGGAGAGAGAGAGAGGACAGAACGAGGGAGGGGAGGGGCCTCCCGAACAAAGGAAGCATGGAGTCTGAAATACTTCCCTCGTTTTTCTCGTGACAAGGTTTTAAATCAGTGGTAAAAGTTTTTCTCACGTCAAACGACACTTTACATTTTATCCTTAAATACGTCAGTAATGGAAAACATTACTATTTGCTTACATGACTAATAGTCCCAGCAGAATCTCTTTTTTTTTTGATTCTCTGTAACTATTAAACATTACATCAGAATAAGAGAAAAACTTCCATAACTGATCATTTCTTCACATGAAACTCGTATACTACAGCCAAGAGGCTCTCTTTTTTCTCATTAATCAGATCATTATTATCAGAATCCACATTTTAAATACTTGGCTTTTTTCCTGTTTAAATTAATTGTACCCTTTTTTTTTTCCGCCCCCGGGGGATATAGAAGGTTTTATTATCCTATCACTTCTGACCCTAACTGTCCCTATTTTCTAATCCTATTTATCTAAACACTTGTGCCTCTTCAGCACTCTAAACGGTGTGCCTCTTTTGCACTCTAAACCCTGTGGCTTTCCTGTATATTCTTTTTTTGAGGGGACCAATGCTTCCCTCAAGGTTCAAAAACGTCGAAAAACCTGACTATTGTTCTATCGCGTCCGATAGAATCGCCCGTCACGGCGGTCGTCTGGCCACGCTGCAGTCCGCCGAGCCGAATTCTCTCTCTCTCTTCCATTTAAAACAATGTGCAGATTTTCAAAAGTAACGATCCGCTTACCTCTTTCGAAGAGAAGGGAGAAGAGAGAATTCTCCCGGCCGACGGACCCAGTCTATATCTGAGCTCATCTTGCGTCTTCTTTCTGTATCAAATCACGTCTCGGGTCACCAAATGAAGCCAATTTTTCCCTTTGGCTAACGTGTCCACAATTTGGTACAGAAATCAGACTAAAGATTCTCCAAGTTTAACATCTGCATTTAATTATCTTTACAATCAGATACAGAATATTCAACAAAAGAGCTCCTATTCTATGCCTGCTCTATCCCTGTGCGTTGCCCCTGTCCTGTCTGACCTCAAAACCCTCCGAGGGCACATATACGGGAGACTTCCGATGACGTCATCCATACGCGTCCAAGGGTGGGGCTTTCCGGGTGTGCTGACGTCCCTTGTCCACTGGGAGGCGTTAGAATGCTGTTGGTGAATTCCCTCTCCGCCTGATGGTGAGGGACTTTTGCTCTGTCAGCAGATAATGTTTATTATCGAACGTTAATAATTCGCCTTGTTCAAAGGCGATATCTTTTTATAATTCCCGTCTGCTTATCCTGTGTCCTTGTGACTTAATCCCTAAGGGCACAGGTCTTTTTGCTTGGGAAAGAGACAAGAGTTCAATTCCGGGTCAATCAAATTCACATCTGCCTTTAGTCTATATTTAAAATATACAACAATGGATGGATGGATTATTACATCTTGTTATATTACAAGTTTACCATGTATTGGAAGTATTTATTTAACATAATGTTGACTTAACCATACTGATTCTGAGGTTTGATTTAGTAGCAACATGTCTATAATAAATAATAACAGACATAGTCACACCTATCTACAGTGCCTTGCGAAAGTATTCGGCCCCCTTGAACCTTTCAACATGTCGCCACATTTCAGGCTTCAAACATAAAGATATAACATTTAAATTTTTTGTCATGAATCAACAAGTGGGACACAATCGTGAAGTGGAACAAAATTTATTGGATAATTTAAATTTTTAAAAAAAATAAAAAACTGAAAAATGGGGTGTGCAATATTATTTGGCCCCTTTACTTTCAGTGCAGCAAACTCAGTCCAGAAGTTCAGTGAGGATCTTTGAATGATCCAATGTTGTCCTAAATGACTGATGATGATAAATAGAATGCACCTGTGTGTAATAAAGTCTCCGTATAAATGCACCTGCTCTTTGATAGTCTCAGGGTTCTGTTTAAAGCGCAGAGAGAACCATGAAGACAAAGGAACATACCAGGCAGGTCCGAGATACTGTTGTGGAGAAGTTTAAAGCCGGATTTGGATACAAAAAGATTTCCCAAGCTTTAAACATCTCAAGGAGCACTGTGCAAGCAGTTATATTGAAATGGAAGGAGTATCAGACCACTGCAAATCTACCAAGACCCGGCTGTCCCTCCAAACTTTCATCTCAAACAAGGAGAAGACTGATCAGAGATGCAACCAAGAGGCCCATGATCACTCTGGATGAACTGCAGATAACTACAGCTGAGGTGGGGATGGTGTGTTCAGGGTGATGAGCTGGCCAACTGGGAGGACCAATAGTCTGATGATCCACCCGGAAGTAGAAAATCTTCACATTAACCTTCAATATTCGGTCCAGTTTTGGTCCAGTCCACAGGAACTGAACTAAATCTATTCAAAAAAGAATATCCAGTCTGACTAATGTGAAACAAGTCATTTATATAGATACCTTCATATTATAAAAAGTATAAAAAATGAAACCCACTTCTTCTTTCGGCCCCTGAGCGGCCCTTTAATTTTTTTTCCGGCCCTCAACCAAAATAAGTTTGACACCCCTGCTCTATGGCATGGGTCTCAAACTCAACTTACCTAGGGGCCGCTGGAGGTAGAGTCTGGGTGAGGCTGGGCCGCATCACAAAAAAACGCTGCATCACAAAAAAAGATGTATTCCAGTATTCCAAAAAAAAGTTCAACTGATCCAATCTTCTCAATCTTAACAAGTCAGACCATGCAGAACTTGCAGAACACGAACAGTTCTTCAGAACATAGGCTTCATTCACTTCCTTCTACTCCTTGCTACCAGAGACTTGGCAGCGCTTCTTCTCACACAGCTGAGACACATTTGGCTTGAGGGAGGAGGCAACTGAGACCCTCAGTGTAGCTTTAAGGTTCTCATCTTTAAGTCTGGACCTGAACTTTGACTTGTTAAAGTTCATTGTGGAGAAGAGTTTTTCACACAGATAGGTGCTGCCAAAAAGGCACATGGTCCGCTTGAACATCCTGGAAAGCTCAGGAAAGGTGGGGGGGGAGTTTTCTCAAAAATTGTTCAAGCTCCATTGTTTTTCCGCTCACCTCCCTGAATTTGGCTTTGAGTTCAGTATTACATTGCAGGTCAATTAGCTCCATCTGCAGGACAGGGGGGGCATCCTCCACATTAAAGAAGAAGGGGTCAGTAAACATTTGAAAAGTGGCTCTGTGTGTCTTGAAGTCTGCAAACCTGTGATCAAATTCTTCTTGTAGCTTTCCGCATACTTCTCACCACTGAATGTTGTGCCTGTATCCATGAGTTCCTTGCATGCTGGGAAATGGCAGAGGTTTGTCTGGGAAAGCTGGGCTTTCCATAACATACGTTTTGTGGAAAATGCTCTGACACTGTCATACGCAACAATGACAAGCTGGCCCTGGCCTTGTAACTTCTTGTTCAGTACATTCAGCTCCTGTGTGATGTCAACAAGAAAAGCTAAGTCCATTAGCCATTTAGGATCACTTAGCACAGGAACAGCCATCCCATCCTTCTCCATGAAGGCTTTCACTTGTGCCCTCAACTCAAAAAACCTCTTCAAGACCTTCCCCCTGCTGAGCCAACGTACCTCGGTAAAGTAGAGCACGTCCTCATATTCTGACTCTATTTCAACCAAAAAGTCACGGAACTGCAGGTGCTTTAAAGCCCTGGATCTGATATGGTTGATGAATTTCACGACGTCAGACATCACATTGTCAAACTTTAAGATTTTGCTGCAAAGGGCCTGCTGATGGATAATGCAGTGCAGAGCAATAGCATCTTCCACACCCTCCTCTTCCAGTTTTCTTCGAACATGTGCTACAAGTCCGTTTTTCCTCCCTGTCATTGATGGCGCCCCATCTGTAGTTATTCCAGCCAAACACTTCCATTGTAAGCCGGCATCCCCAATGCAATCACACAGCTGGCGGAATATCTCCTGACCGATGGTCTGGCCATGCATTGCAATCACTGTGAGCAACTCCTCCGTAACTTCACAATTGTTATCAGCACCACGGACATATATTGCAAGCTGCGCCGTGTCAGTGACGTCTGTGCTCTCATCAAGAGCGAGTGAGTAAGAATGGAAATGTTTAGCTTTCTCACGCAGTTGATCATAAATGTTACCTGACATGTCAGAAATGCGCTCTGCCACTGTGTTGGCTGAAAAGCGGATGTTACTAAACTGAGCCTTTTTTTTCTGGGCAGACTATACTGGCAGCCTGTAACATGCATTGTTTGATGAACTCACCGTCTTTGAACGGCTTTCCTGCTTTAGCGATCATCTCACTCACCACGTAGCTAGCTTTGAGAGCCGCTTCACTCTCTTTCTTGGCTTTCTTGAAAAAATCTTGTTGCCTCAGAAGACATGTTTTAAGTTTGGCGACCCGGTCCTCTCGCTCATCTCCTGGGTACTTTGCATACTCCTCTGCGTGTTTTGTTGAGTAATGACGTTTAATGTTATACTCCTTGTGCACCGCAACTTTTTCCGAGCATATTAGACACGTTGGGATGCCCCTGTGCTCATCAAAAAAATATTGCAGCTCCCACTTCTCCTGAAATTGTCTGTGCTCATCGCCAACTTTTCTCTTCACGACAGGTTTTGAAAAAGACATGGCTGGGGCTAAATAAAACCGTATTGACAAGATATTTTACTTCCAATCGTTCATCCAAACATTTTGTGTGATTTGCGCTGTTCTCGCGAGCCTGAGCTACGGGAGTCCACAGGTGTCAAAAAACATAAACCCCCAGAAGCGTGCGAGAAAAAAAATGCGCGGGCCGTACTAACACAAAGCTTTGATTAGAAGCAGAGGGCAACAAACTATTGACCCGCGGGCCGCAATTGGCCCCTGGGCCGCGTGTCTGAGACCCCTGCTCTATGGAATGTAGCGTTGGGACAAGAGCCGACTTTTGGACCATCCTGTAAAGCTGTCCACCAACACAGAGTGAGATTGTAAGCATGTCAGCGCACGTGTTCATGGACATTTTAGAACAATAGCCTTTACCACATCATTGGTCCGCTGAGTTGTTTTTAAAGTGCTCTTTTAAAGAAAATTGAAATGAATTGAATTAGAAAGTACGCAATGTTTATTTTTATAGTGCATTTTACAGACCATGGTCACACAAAGCGCTTTACACTGCAATGTTCAGTTACTTTTCCATTCTCTCCACACGTCGATGACGGAAGTGAGATGCTGAACACACTGGCGCATCAAACCCCCAACCAACACCATCCATTCACTCACTCATTACATGCAAACCTTTCGTACATGTTTTTAGTGGTCAAGGAAAACGGAGCACCCAAAAATAAACCTACACAGACACAAGTAAAACATGCAAACTCCACACAGAAAGGCCTGGAGGTCTTCGAAATACCGTACCAAACATCTGCTGGAGGTCTAAAAGATTTTCACTGCATGTACGACAAACAAAAATATGACAAACTAAATCAAATATACCAATCTAAACTAACTAGCCTGCTTCTCCAACATTCACTTTTTAAAGCCCCTGGTTAGAACGATGACATGTCCTACCTCTGTGCGTGGTCAGACTGAAGCCAGACAAAAGCAGTGCGATGGTCTTTCTCTGCGAGCTCATCAGTGACAAAGGATTTCCCATGAGCGCCGTGATTGTGAAGAGCTATAATTATGTGACCTCACCTGATTACTAATTCATGCTTCTGCTGTTTTCTATGCTGACCGGTGCTTGACTTTTGGCTTTAGAACACCATGGAAAATGGAGCTCCTGCCTGTAATCGCACTACACAACGAACGAGGCTGCAGGAGAGAACAGTGCGACAAAAAGTTAATCACAAACAAGCAGCTTAACCACAAAACAAAAACCAAACTAAAATATGAAAGGAAAGGGTTCTATTTGGTCGCAGATATCTGTCCTGAACACGGCACGAGCGGCGAGAATAGGTTTTTGATCTGACAAGCATCAAAACTTTTCTTCAAAATAACTGATCAAAGCTGTGTGTTTTCAAAAGGACTGTGGGATCCCTTTTTAAAAAGCTGGCAACAGGTTTAAAAGAGCGCTGAAATGTATACGGATGTGGGAAACAGAGCAGTTAGGAGGAAAATGGAGAATGTCACGTTGGGGCACACAACAATGGAATTTGCTGAGAACACAGGAAATATGTGTTTTCCGAGTCTTTCAGCGGTGCAGAGGAAAATAATGCTGGAAAAATGTCCAGTGAAATGACTTTTACAAATCCTATCACTAACATTTGCAATCGACATCTTTAATAAAATAATCGGTAACACTTTATATTAAAGGATCTAACATGGCCTGAGTGGACCAGTGATGTACTTTTACCAGTGATGGACTTTTACCAGTGATGGACTTTTACCAGTGAAGGACTTTTACCAGTGATGGACTTTTACCAGTGATGGACTTTTACCAGTGATGGACTTTTACCAGTGATGGACTTTTACCAGTGATGGACTTTTACCAGTGAAGGACTTTTACCAGTGATGGACTTTTACCAGTGATGGACTTTTACCAGTGATGGACTTTTACCAGTGATGGACTTTTACCAGTGATGGACTTTTACCAGTGATGGACTTTTACCAGTGAAGGACTTTTACCAGTGATGGACTTTTACCAACAAACGACATTCGACTTCACACTGATGCAGGTAAAGTCACAGTTTTGGTCATGTTAGATCTTAGTGCCGCGTTCGACACTGTCGACCATGAGATCCTCATGCAGAGACTGGAGGACTGGGTTGGTGTCACTGGCACAGCCCTAGACTGGTTTAGGTCTTACCTGGAGGATAGGAAGTACTTTGTGGAGATTGGAGACTGCGTCTCAGATCATGTGGCCCTGACCTGTGGAGTACCACAGGGGTCGATCCTGGGACCTCTCCTATTTAATCTCTACATGCTGCCGTTAGGTCAGTTAATACAAAGAAACAAAGTGTCCTACCACAATTACGCTGACGACACTTAGATCTATGTCTCACTGACTGCAGGAGAACATGGACCACTGGATTTGCTCCTTCACTGTATCCAACAGATCAGTGACTGGATGCAAAATAATTTCCTCCAGCTAAATGCAGACAAAACCGAAATCATTGTCTTTGGTCCCCAGAAACAAAGAGAGGGCGTCATTTGTCAACTTCAGTCTCTCTCCCTACTTCCTTCAGACAAGGTCAGAAATTTGGGGGTAATACTGGACTCAGACCTAAATTTCAATAGCCACATAAAATCAATAACATCAACAGCTTTTTACCATCTGAAGAACATTGCCAAAGTTAGAAATATAGTGTCCAGGGCAGACTTGGAGATTCTTGTCCATGCATTTGTCTCCAGCAGGCTAGACTACTGCAATGGCCTGCTTACAGGTCTGTCCAAACAGACCTGTAAGCAGCTGCAGTACATCCAAAATGCAGCAGCTAGAGTCCTGACAGGAACCAGGAAGTATGACCATATTAGTCCGGTCCTCAGGTCTCTGCACTGGCTTCCTGTGGCTCAGAGAATAGATTTTAAAACAGCTCTGCTTGTGTACAAGTCTCTCCATGGCCTTGCACCAAAATACATTAGTGACATGTTGGTGTCATATGAACCGGCTCGGACTCTGAGGAGCACAGGGACTGGACTCCTGCTGGGACTCTGAGGAGCACAGGGACTGGACTCCTGCTGGTGCCCAGAGTGAGAACCAAACATGGGGAGACTGCGTTTCAGATCCATGCAGCTAAGATCTGGAACAATCTCCCTGAAAATGTGAGGGAGGCGTCTACTCTGTCAATGTTCAAATCCAGGTTAAAGACTGTTCTGTTTGCCTGTGCATACAACTGAAGGATTTTATCTCCATTTCTAATGCACTGTTGTCATTTATTTATTTATTTTTTTTAATTTCTTGTGTAATTTTGAAAGTTTTAATGGTTTTATTCTTTTGTGTGATTTTAATGTTTTAATTGTGTTTTAATCTTTTGTGTGATTTTAATGTTTTAATTGTGTTTTAATCTTTTGTGTGATTTTAATGTTTTAATTGTGATTCTGGTGTTTGTTTTATGTGATGATTTGTGATGTGAACTGTGAAGCGCTTTGTGTTGCCCTGTGTATGAAAGGCGCTCTACAAATAAACTTTGATTGATTGATTGATACCAGTGATGGACTTTTACCAGTGATGGACTTTTACCAGTGATGGACTTTTACCAGTGAAGGACTTTTACCAGTGAAGGACTTTTACCAGTGATGGACTTTTACCAGTGATGGACTTTTACCAGTGAAGGACTTTTACCAGTGATGTGCAGTGCTACATCATTCCCATGGTGTGGCACTGGGGGCCTTTAACGCCGGCCCCAGGCGAGTGCGGCCTGTGACCATGATTAATTCCGGTCAAGGTCACAGACCGCCAGTGCTTCCTCCTGCGCCCCCTGGAGCGTGGAATGAAGCACTGCAGAAAGAAGCATCGTTTGCTTCTGCGTTGTTTTGCGGCGGACGCTAAACTCCAGCGAGGTTTCCCGGCGAGCGTTATGCCGCGATCAGACCGGATCATGCGTTGCGTCGGCTTTCAATGCAAAGTCAATGGTGACGCGCGTTCGAGCGTGGAACTGCATGTGCGTCTCGGAATACACGCACAGACTGCTCAGTAGAGACGCACGGACTGCGCGGCAAAGTCGAAGGGGAGGTGCAGGAGCGGAAAAATCGACGCACGCAGGAGATGAATTTTGCTGAGCGTTTCCTCAGACGTTCGTGCAGCAACCAATCAGAGAGAAGCAAAGTGGTCACCGGGATATTAGCGGACTGAGCGAGCAGACTGAACATACTCGTTAACAGCCAAAACAGGAGCTAGATCAGGACTAAACCAGGACTAAACCAGGACTAAACCAGGGTTGACAATGGGGGACATAGTGCTTGTTAACATATGCGTTTTCATGCTCCCGTGACTTTGCGCAACTGCTTCGAGTACCGTTTAATAATAAACTAAACTTATTGCGCACCTCTTTGAACACATACTACTGTTATAGAAAGTCTGTGGAAGGTCTCTGAACACAGACACGCTGCAGAGCTGCCTTATAGGAGAAGGACTTTACACAAAAAGCCGCTATCTTAATTCCGTTAGCATCAAAGCCCGCCGGCTACTTCTGCCACTTCTGGCGCGCGGCAGGACTTCTGGTGTGAAGTCCCCTGCATCTGAAAACTAGAGAATGTGTGTCTGGTGCGATAGGCATCAGCAATCCAGCGTTGGCGGTCTGAAAGCAGCTTTAGTGTCCTGCGCCATTGCCCTGAGAACGCTGGTCTCCAGCATCGGCGAGAGGAGTGAGCTGCAGCTTGTTTAATGCGCATTGCCATAGTGATTGTTGCCTTGACTTATTTATTTATTTAAACAAACAAGACAAGATGCAGAGGCCCACATTGAGGGGCTCCCAGGGACGGATGGGCTATGTGTCACGTGCTGGGAAGGATGAGGACCCAAAATTGCAGGAATGCCAAAAAAAATTTAATTTAATGATGAATAAAAACCAACCAGGAACAGGGCAGAACAGAACAGAACAGACAAAGACATGAACAACACAATGGACCAGCAACATGGGGAGAGGAGCACAGGGTACATATAGACACAGACACAGGTGAAACACATCAGGGCGGGGCAGACAATCAAGACAGGAAGTACAACTAAAACCAAAACCACAGAACAATGTCAAAATAAAACAATAATACAAAAATAAAACCCACACTATGACACTATGCACAATTAAAACAGACATCTATCTGCTGCATTATTATATGACAACCTGCAGCTTTTATTCAGGTGCGGCCTATTTGTGGACAATACATACTTTATTTTTTATTTTCTAAAGAATGTTCTCTCTGTGTCTGCGTAGGTTTCTATAAATGTTGTTGTGGAGTGAGAGACAAATGTCCCCAACATTTATAAAGCGCTATATAAATAAAGATGACCTACTTCCGAATAATTCCTAAAAACTTTTAAAATAATGAATAGGAATTACTAATAACTAATGAACTACTAATAACATGTTGATTGTTGATTTGAATAGACTTTTATGTAAATATATCCATCCATCCATCCATTTTCTTCCCCTTAATCCATTTCTGGGTCGGGGGGGTGGTACACACACTACAGTGGAGGGAAGGCGTGTTGTTTGGACCCCTGTTGGATTTTCACCCTGGGGAAGACAACATGTCAAAACAAACTTCTGACTTTGAGAATTAGTAATAAAGTCACAGCGCCGGATACCAACAGGAACCCCAGGAATTGCACTAAAATGGACTAGGACCAACTTCTCAGCTTCACTTGCTGTATGCGGCTTGTTACGCTGTCATTGATCAAAGTATTGTACTTCTTGTACTTTGTCACTCGTGTTGCTCAGTCTGTAAGGTGTAAGTAAGTAAGTAAGTAAGTAAGCTTTATTTATATACCGCCTTTCACAGACCAGAGTCACAAAGCGGTTTACAATTGTTATTTTTTGGGCACTTGTCCTCTCACTCCACACAGAGATGGGAGCGGGGTCGCCGAACAGGAGGCACAGTCCTATTGTACATATTTTTAGTGGTAGGGGAAACCAGAGTACCCGGAGGAAACCTACGCAGACACGGGGAGAACATGCAAACTCCACTCAGAAAGGCCCTGGATTCGAACCCAGGACC